TGTGTGCTTCCTTTTTAATTGTGTCTTAATTTTAGTTTGTCATTTCTTTGCCCTTTTTTGTTTTGTGTCCATAAATTCTCTCTGAGTTTAGCCTTTCCTAATTGTGCATTTTCAATTTTTATTTTCTTGGACTCTTGCTTTTAGGTTGGTTTCATTTTGAATGTAGGTGAAGAACCTATCTAGCCAACTAGCAAACCTTTGGTGGATTTGAGTTGAGGAGTGAACCGAATCCAAACCTAGTCTTTGGATGGATTTCCACTACACAAAAGGAGTGTTTAAACACTTGGAGAGGACTAACCAAAGTTTGCTCATTGTGAAGGAACCCAACTGGAGGAGTTGAAGACCTAAATTCCTTGTCTTTTCATTTTTTCTTGATTTCTTTTGGGTCACTTGTAATTGGGCCTTATTTCTTTATCTTGGTTTGTAATTGGCCATTTTTAAACCTCTTCATTTTGGTTTTAGTTCGTGTAGTTGAAGGTGATTTGAAAACCTTCACCTAGGACTTCGACTAGTATATGCTTTAAGTGATTTCCTTTTGCATGTTTTCAAGATTTTGGTAGTATAATTGCTTAGGATTTTATCTTTTCTCAAATTCCGTTTAGAAGGCTTGCTTTTGCCTACTAGGGGGAACGTGTGCACACACACTTTATTCTTGTGCCAAATTGTTTTGTGAGAGAAGTTTGAAAGGCTTAGTGACTTTTACTTGATAACGCTTGGTTATTAAGTGATTCCTAGTAGTCCACCTCCTTTTGATAGTTCACTTTGTACACTTAGGCCTTTTCCTACTTATCTTACACCTTAAAAATCTTTTGTGAAAACCTTTTATCACTCATTCTTTGTGAAAACGTTTTTTTAACCTTTTTGAAAACAAATTTGTGAAAACCTTTTCTTGATCAAAGATGAGTGATCATTCTAGTGTACATGGTCATAATTCATGTAGTTATAGGTCTAGTGTTAGGGATGAACTTAGGCAATTAAAAGAATACCAAAGAAAAATAGAAGAGGAAAATATAAAAAGAGAGGAAGAATTAAGAGAAAAAAGAAAAAGAATTTGAGAAAAATAATGAAATAAAAAGGTTGCTTACTAGGCTAGTTGTGGGAGGAGAGGCTAGTGGTTCAAGACCAAGAGTCACTTCTCCTAAGTCCTTAAAGGGCAAAGGGCATATGATACATTCAAGTTTTCATGAGGAGGAAGGGCATCATACCCAACCTCCAAGTGATATCTTCTATAGTAGTCATCACAATGATGATTACTATCAAAGACCCCCAAGGCAACATAGACATAGGGAGTCTTCCAATAGAGAACCCAACATCACTCTTCTCCCATTTCATGACAAAGACAATGTTGAGAACTATTTGGATTGGGAAATGAAGGTTGAATAATTATTTTCTTGCCATGGAGTGAGTGAAGAGAAAAAGGTTTCTTTGGCAACCCTTAGCTTTCAAGGGCATGCCATGTATTGGTGGACCTCCTTAGAAAAAGAAAGGTGAATAAATCATGAGCCCCCAATCCAATATTGGAATGAGCTCCATAGTGCCTTAAGAAGGAGGCATATTCCTCCATACTATGACCCAGAGCTTATGGATAAGCTTCAAAGATTGAAATAAGGGTCCTCTAGTGTGGAAGAATATAGGAAATCTATGGAGTTGCTAATGATGAGGGCTAGGATTAGGGAGGCAGAGAGGACCACAATCTCAAGATTTCAAAGTGGTTTAAACCTTGAAATAAGTGACAAAGTTAAACTTTTACCTTATAGAGATTTAAATGAACTTGTTCAACTTTGTTCAAGGGTGGAGCATCAACTTAAAAGAAAAACTTTTTGAAAAGACTCCACTCCATCTTATTCCAAGAGTTTCAAGAAGGAGGGTCACTCTTCTCTACCTTATCCCAAAGATGAAAAAGAAAAAAAAGAAGAAAAAGAAAAATCTTCTTTTAAAGCACCTTCCAAAGAGTCTAAGTCAAGTGAAATCAAGAATTTTAAGTGTCTTGGAAGAGGACATATTGCTTCTCAATGTCCTACAAAGAAAACCATGGTTTTAAAGGCCCAAGATCACTATAGTAGCCTTGATGAAGCTACTTCATCTTCCTCTAGTAGTGAAGAAGAAGCCATAGAATCTGAGGAAGAGATTTTACCTTGTGAAGGAGACTTACTTTTGGTAAGAAGGCTTCTTAACAATCACTCTAGTGACATTGACCAATCTCAAAGAGAGAACTTGTTTCAAACAAAATGCAAGATTTTAGAAAATACCACCACTATCTCTATGCACTTCAATGTCAAGGAAGTAATGTAGCTTCCCAAGATCCTTTAGTGCAAACACCACATTGAGTTGTTTGATGAAAGCTTGCAAAAAATCAGTATTACTTCTTGTATAAATTATGTCATCTACATAAATTAATATGAAGGTAATATGATTCTTGCTTCTAAGAAATAAAAGTGATGAGTCACTGCGAGTATTTTGAAACCCCAATGGAGTAAAGTTTTCTTGAGTCTATCAAACCATGCTCTCGATGCCTGTTTGAGTCCATAGATAGCTTTGATGAGTTTGCAGACATGGTGAGGCTTGTTAGGATCCATAAATCCTTCAGGTTGATGCATAAACATTGTCTCCTTTAGATAGCCATTTAGGAAGGCGTTGTTGATATCCATCTGTCGCACCTCCGAGTTGTAATGTACAGCTATAGCCAAGATGATCCTCACTATACTAGCTTTAATTACAGGACTGAAAGTTTCATCAAAATACACACATGCAGTTTGTTGGAAACCTTTTGCAACCAGCCTAGCTTTTCTTATTTATATTGTTCCATCTACTTTTTGGTTTAAAAGACCCATTTAGAGTCAATGACATTTTCCTGACCTTGATAAGGTTCCAAGGTCCAAGTTCCATTGGAAATTAAGGCTTTAAATTCATAATTCATGGCTTGTCTCCATTCTGATCTTTTAAGAGCTTTTGTTACTGTCTCTGGTTCTTTCTCTTCCTCGTGTTTCTCAATTGTTCCAATGTAAGGAAGTTTCGGCTTGAGAATTCTCGCCTTGCTCCTTGTACACATCTTATGGGTGTTTGAGATTGGAATGGTGTTGTTGTCAATTGCTGCATCATCTACTCTATTACTGGTGTTTTGTGAGTTTTCTTCAGCTACTAGTTCAGATGAAGTCTTTGTTGGTTCTGCATCAATCTGTTGTTCATGAGTAGGTGATAAATTTTCTGTTGGAATTTGTGTGTTGTAGTTGTTCTGAAGTTGATCACCATCATTTTGTGTGCTACTATTGGATTGCTCTGCACTAATTGATCTATAAGTTTCAGATCCATGATTATGGCCAATCCCTGCAGGAATCAAAGGATAAAAAAAGGAAGCTGGTTTAGTAAAAATTTCTGCTGATTTTTGTTTGTCGAGGAAGCCATCATGAAAAGGAAACTCATGTTCATTAAATATCACATGTCTTGAGATAAAGATTCTGCCATTTGAGTTCATGCACTTGAATCCCTTATGAGAAATGTTATAACTAAAAAATACACATTTTGTAGTGTGGTATTGCAACTTATGGCATTATAAGGCTTGAGACATGGGTAACATGCACAACCAAAAGACTTTAAGTTATTATAATCAGGTTCCTTATTAAATAGTACTGAGTAGGGACTTTTATTCCTAATTATAGGTGAAGGCAACCTATTTATTAGAAACACGGCAGTTGAGAAAGCTTCCCACCAGAAATAAAGTGGCATTTTGGCTTGTGCTAATAGGGTAAGACCAAGTTCAGCAACATGTCTTTGTTTTCTTTCTGCGCTACCATTTTTTTGTGAAGTGTATGGACAGGACATTCTCAATTGGAAACCAGATTCTTGGGAATTTTTTTGTAAACCTTTAAATTCACCTCCACCATCACATTGAACCACTTTAATCTTCTTATTAAATTGGTTTTCTGTTAACTTTTTGAACTGAATAAAGGCTTGCACAGTTTCAGATTTTTGCTTTAATGGATAAATCCAAGTAAATCTACTAAAATCATCAATGAAATGTACATAGTACTTAAAACTAGAACAAGAATTTATTGGTGCAGGACCCCAAACGTTTGTATGAATTAACTTAAGGGGCTCCTGGGCATGAGAAAAAGAAGATTTAAAAGGTAAAAAATGTGATTTTCCAAACTGACAAGTTTCACAAAAATTGAAATGATCATCCTTTGAAGTTTTGACATTGCAACTCCTTAAGACTTCATCCAAGACTTTACTACTAGGGTGTCCAAGCCTTCTGTGCCAATTCTCCTTTACTGTCAAGTAGATATATGGGCCACCACTAGGTCGAGCATTAACACTAGAGAGTTGGTACAAGCCATCTCCAAGTTTCCCTTCTAGTAGAACCTTCCCTGTTAACTTGTCCTTCACAAAACAATCACTTGCATCAAATTCAATTGTAATATTATTATCAGTAGCAAGTTTGGAGACACTTAATAATTTTTTAGTAATCTTAGGCACATAGAGAAGATCATGTAGATTAAGGGATCTTTAACAAGTGTCTAAAGTTGCAGTACCATAAGTGTGTATTGTTAATCTCTCACCATTACCAACAACTAAAGAAGCCTTACCATCATGCTCAGAGATTTCCTGGAATTGATCAGGGTCATGTGTGACATGATTGCTAGCACCACTATCAAAGTACCACTCCAAGTCTCTAACTGAATTTGATGAGGCGTTGAAATTTGGTGAGGTAAAGAAGGCATTGTGCTTTTCCTACTTGTCATCAGAGGATTGGCCCATGTATGACTTGTCAAACCTATAGAAGCAATGGACAACAATGTGGCCAATTTTTCCGCAAACCTAACATGTTGGTTTGTCTCGAGACGGTCTTCCTCTTCCTCTACCACCTCTCGTACCTCTAAAATTATTACCTCTCCAGCTTCCACGATTGTTATATCGATTCACTTTTTGGTCAAATCTGGTTACAACATTTGTTGAAGGGCTAAGGGTCAGATTTGAAAAGGAATTTAACTACTCAAGTCTATTCTCAAATGCTAGGAGTTGTGCTTGCATATCAATCAAAGTCAAGTCGTTTCTGTCAGATAATTGAACAACTATAGCATTGTAGTCAAAATCCAAGCCAGCCAGAGTTTGAGTGATCAAATTAGTGTTGGAGATAGGACTTCCTGCAAGTTTGAGACTATCCGCCAATGCTTTCATCTTGGTGAGATACTCCTCCATCTTCATTGAGCCCTTGCGAGAGCTATGGAAATCAGTCTTGAGTAGTGTGACATGAGAACGTGTGTACGCTCCTACTAGGCTTTGAGCACCTTCCCAAAGCTCTTTTGATGTTTCACAGTGCAGAAGCTGAGCGGCAACGCCTTCTGTCATTGAATTAAAAAGCCACCCTAATAGCTGTTGTTCGTTGGCTAACCATTCCTCATAAGCAGGATTGATTTTCTTTGTTGATTCTTCTGTAATGAATTGCTCAGGACACTCCTTTGTCCCAAGGATATAGCCATCGAGTTTGCTTCCTCGAATTAAAGGCAACGCAAGAGATTTCCACAGCAAATAATTGTTTCTGTCCAACTTGACAGAACACAATGAAGTGGGGGCATTTTTTTGATTTGAGTTGGCAGCAGAATCCATGGTTTGTTGGATCGGTCAAGATGCTATTAAGGATTAAAGCTCTGATGGCAAGTTAGAATGATAAAGAAGTGGCAGAAAGTTGTAAGTTTCCATTGATCAGTATGCAATATATATACATAAGCTTGATAATAGAATGCCTAACAATAAGCTAAATAGATAAGATAATCTTTCTATTATTAAACAGATAATAAACAACTAATTAGATATATTATGATATGAATATCTGAATATAACAGAATCTTTTATCCTTTAACAGTTTGGAGCGCGAAGAAGTTTGACTATAAAATAATAGTTGGTTGTTTGAAGCTTTGAGAGGTTTTGTGTTCAAAAAATGTTTGGCTAGTTACTTGAATAGGCAAATTAAGGAATATTTAGGTTAGATCAGAAGTGATTTATGAAATAATAATTGTATTTTTGTAAAATATAATGAAACTTGATTAGATTGATCATGAATAGAATTACATAATCTCGGCAGTTAAGATAAGTTAAGTTAAGTTACTACTTCAATGTATCAAAAAAATGTGAACATATGATTAACACTATTCAATCTTTCCTTTTAGTGTCTTTATTTTCTTCACACTCTACCTCTTTACTTGTTTAGTTTACCTTATCGTATATTATATTATGTTGTTGTATAATCTGTTATAAAAACAAGTTTACTGGAAAACTTTTTTTTTAAGAATAATACTCTAAGTTTAAATATCAAAAACCTTATCCTCCAAAGAACAACTTTTCATAAAGAACTATTTTTTAAAGCATAAAACTATTTAACCCATTTCTTTTAACTTAACATTTACTTCAAATCACTCTTACAATTACAATTATAATTTTCCAAAATTGTTTAGATTTTTAATAACTCATATTTATTTATTTATTTATTTATTATAAGATTGTTATTTTTTTATGAGAAAAAAGGTTTCATAATTTTAATATTTTCAATATTTTATCTTTTCAAACAATTATGAAATGCATGATAAAGTAAGAATTATTCAATTCACAAAGATACTCATAAATAAAATGTAAAATATTAAAAAATATAATGGAAATATTAGCATGGACAACCGTGGATATTATTTTTCTCTCTGTTACAATCTTTTATATATATATATATGTATATATATATATATTTATTATATAATCTAATAATTATACACAAAAAAATATTAAAAATTATAGAAGATATAAGAATTTTTGTTTACATTTAAGAGTACAAAGGTTTATTAAAAAGTGTAGACCAAAAGATAGTTACTAAAAAGTATTCCCTTTATAATAAGTACCCTTTATAATAGGTATATATTAGTATGACTAGTGTAACATGTAATCTCTTGTTATTTTGAAAAATAAAAATACCATGCGTGTTTATAATAATGTGGATTGAATTTTAAATGTATATTTTTGAGTATTCAAGCTAAATATCCGAACCATTTTTTGTGTTAATAAACTTATCCATTATTCAAAGATTATAAAAATAATGCAAAAATAATTTTATTTGATATTTAAACAATATTTAAATAATTTGAATTATTTATAATATTGTGGATTGAATTTTAAATGTATATTTTTGAGTATTCAAGGTAAATATCCGAAACAGTTTTTTGTGTTAATAAACTCATCCGTTATTCAAAGATTATAAAAATAATGCAAAAATGTTTTTATTTAATATTTAAATAATTTGAATTAATACAAATCTATATTAATATATAAAGGAATACCCTCTAATGGATTAATTATAATACTAATTAGATTAATATACTTTTATTTTTTAATTTTAGTTTTATTTTTAATAGAGGTACGAAATGCCTCAATTCCACTAATACAAATAACAGATACGATCATAAATTTACATAATAAAATTTCAACTGTTATATTTTTTAAAATACAAAATAATAATCGGACAATAAGTATCATTAAAAGAATAACTCCACCGTTAACTTGTTATATAGGATATTTACAGCATACTTATTTTATAGTTGAATATTCAACGAATTTTTTACACTTTTCAAAGCAGGTATTCAACGAATTTTTTACACTTTACCGTGAAGTTTCGTTCAACGTAAAAATTCTCTCTCTAGCCTTTCTCATGTAACATTAATAACTATTAAATATATTTAATGACTCAAATTTAATATTATAAAAATCATTTAAAAAGTTACATTAATTATAAGATTAAATTTGAGTCATCAAATATATTCGATGATTATTAATGTTGTAGGAGAGAGAATCCAAATTCTAAAAGCAAAAACACGCATAACCGCTACGGAAAACAGATGCACCGTAAATGATAAATGCAGGTTTTGCACTAGCCAGCATCCTGATTTAAAAGAGAATTTTCGTCTTTTAGCCGATATGGCCCAATAGGAAATGGAGGGGGCATTCTGTTATGCACGATGGATGAGTAGGGTTTTGCCTCTCAACAAATCCGCTCTTCACAACCACTCTTCCACTTTCTCATACCCATGCCCCCTTTGTCATTATTCAAGATGCTTTTGATAGATACAAAGGGATCTTGTTTAAGCATGGTGACATGTTCAATTTTCTCAACCCTGGACTTTCTCTCTCTATTAATGGTGCTGCCTCTACCATTGTTCGTGATACTTTTGATAAATACAAAGGGATCTTGTTTAAGCATGGTGACATGTTCAATTTTCTCAACCCTACACTTTCTCTCTCTAGAAATGGTGTTGCCTCTGCCATTGTTCGAGATGCTTTTGATAGATACAAAGGGATCTTGTTTAAGCACGGTGACAGGTTCAGTTTTCTCCGAACACTCAGGCCTGCCTATGATGTTTCCCAAATGAACATCATTGTTCTTTCTGATATTGAAGAGGTGGGCCTTTTTCAATTATTTTTTGATTTCCTTTTTATGGTTTTTGATCAAGATTTTCAGAATGATAGTGATTCTGTTGTTGACCTTCTTGTTCTTTTACATGATAAATATGGTCCTTGTCAGAGGTATGATGATGTCTTTTTGTATTCTCATTCTCTTCCTTGATTGGTTTTCTATTGACAAATTTTGTACATCAACATTGTAGAAATAAGAGCTTTTCCAGATTAAGTCAGTAGCGAGTCTCACCATCTCTTCTTGCCTTCCTTTTAGTTTCCTCTTATATTGTTAAGGCTTCTTTTGATGTGAAAAGATATATTATTATGATTCCAGGTGTATATGCTTCGATTACTAACATAATAATTATTGACCTTGGTGTTCATAAATTTGAGTTTGTTTTTAATGGATTTCTTGCAGGTCCAATTTGACACCATGGATTTATCTGGCAATGAGATTGTCAAATTGGAAAATGTGCCATGATCTTAACCGGTTGGGTACAAAGCTCATTAGTAACAATAGGATTACTAGAATTAATCTCAACATTGGAGGTCTGGTTTGAACTTTGAAATGCACATCCTCTTTCCATTATTGATGTCTTTCCTTCTAGTTGTAAGCTACACAATGTGGATATCTAGATTATTGTTGCATTTGTATTGTAGAATTTTTGCCAAAACAAGACACTAGTTCTCACAAACAACAGAATTGTAAACTTGGTAGAAATTGATCCGTTAGCATCCCTTTCAAAGCTGTAGTTACTTGGTCTGTCAGACAACAATATTACTAAGAAAGCAAATTGCAGGCTTTATGTTATTAACAAGCTGAAATCCCTCTCGGTTTTGGATTTCAAGTAATTGAAATATAAGGTAATGTTTTATTTTTCACCATGTGGATTTTATTGGCTTGTTGTTTGCAATATGAAAGATACGATGTTCCGGTAATGTTCAATTAGAAAATCTGCATTTTAAACTTCAGTAACAGAACTACCCCTGGCTTGCACTGAACACCAAGTCCAAGTGTGGAAATTTTACTACATATAGATGTAGATTATAAAACAAAGATTAGAAAACAATTGTTTGTCACTTGTTTCATGAATCTGTACATTGTCTCTGAAGTGATATAGATTTTCTGTTTCTGTACACATAAAAGAAGAAAAATTCTCTTATGAATTTTTTCTAACTGGACTGCCTCTGCCACCTAAATGTTTATATAACTTAAAAATTACCATCTTTATATTGATTTGGGTCTATTGTCACCCCTGTTGTTGTTGCGGTGGTGTTTTTTGTAGCTATAAGCAAGTCTTGGCAACTGCAAATTAACATGAAACCAAATTGCCACAAATAGAAATAGATTCCATAAATTATATGTACCATGTATATTGTGCTTTTTGCTTAAAAAAAATGTATATTGTGCTTTCTAAGAATACCATTGACTGCAGAGAATCTAGTTCCCTAAATTAGTTAAAACATAACGCATTAGTTAAAATTAAGGGTCAAGATTCAAAATTCTTACGATACAAAATTAGTTCAAAATTAACGCATTATTTCAACTTGGAGTGGATGAAAGAAAGCTACAATCTGCCTGTTTCAAGACCCCGGGTGCATTTTGGTAATGGGCAAGTCTCAATTGAGGTGTGGTTTGTTTTGAATTTTATGGTGTATTTGGTATTGCATTTGAACATTGAATGAGATTATCTTGTTTTGTACTTCAACTATGAAGTACATGATGTCACTTATATATGATTTTATTAAGAAGAATAGAGTGGTTAATTAACATGCATATATACATATAGTATAAGATGGTGTGTCATTAGATTTATCTGTGTAGTAATTTAATACATTAATGAATGAGCATGGTACTATATGCGATGTAGAAGCAAAATCAAATCTTAAGTAGCAGGGTTACTTTTATAGTTTCAAAAAATTTAATTATTTTGTAGCTACTGGTTAGGGGTAGTATTTTGGGCCAGATCTATGTTATTTAAGAGTTCTGGTGTTTTATTTGTAAGTCTAAGCATGCTTAATGCTTAATGGGCATGGGTTACTAGTAAGAGTCTAGTTTTACATCATGGTTTGTTGTTTACTTGTAACTTGCTGTCTAATAATTATTATTGGAAATTCTTTTATAGGTGTGAGCCAGAAGTCACGTAACTTAAAAAAATAAGCTCAGCTATTGGTGAGTTGATATGAATTTGTCTTAAAAAAATATTTGTATAGCACAAAGAAATAATAGCAAAGTCATGAATGAAATTGTTTTATTTTTAAACTGGTCTCGTGGCAGAGTATAGATGTTGTCCACTTGAAGTAACATAATTTTTGTTCAATATTCAGTTTAATTTAAGGCACAACGGCAGGTGTTTCAGGGTCAAAATTATTTCTATTACTGGATGTAGTTTGAAACATGCAATGGTATTTATGTCTACACGTACTTGCTATGGCTCATGGGTGTATCTATTATATGGTGTCATTTTTAAATGCTGTAACCTATGCTTTATTTTTTTATTTCGTACTTTATAGCTTTATGTGTGTTTTGCTAATGTGGCTGGCACAAATCAGTAAAATAGGATAGTGGGATGTTGTTATAACTTTTTCTTGTCTTTGTGCTTGTTGTTGCTACCTGAGGCTTATAGGCGCAGGTTGCTCTTGGAAAAGAGATATTCATACTACCAGCAGAAATTTTTCTGATGCAATATTCTCTCAACTATGTTTATTGCCCATGTATAAAGTTCCATCTCATCTTTTTTTCTTTTTACTGAATGATCAATGGCTTGCTTTTCGTCATTATTCATTTTTTTTAATGTAACATTTGTTGATGAAATTATGTTGTATAACTTACAATTTTTTTTTCTTTAAACAAATTCTCAGTTAATTCGTTACAAAGCAAGTGATTATAATAAAGATAGAATATGGCTCCGACGGACCAGAGCCAACACAGAGGTGAGTTGTTATAGGCTTTGATGATTCACATTCAATGGAAAATGATCACCTAGAGAGTTGCTAGTTTCGAAAAAAGAGAAATATGTGAATTTAGTTCATGACTTTGACAGACCCTTTACCTGGGAGTTATGTTTATTTATTTAATTTATTTTACATTTTGGTTTTGGTTTTTTGGGGTTTGGATATTGTTTTGGTAAGTTTTTTTTTTTTGTTTTGGTGTTTGAAGTTTTTTTTAGTGTTTTTTTGGAGTTTGGGGGCTGGGATTTTTTGGGGTTAGGGGTTAGGAATTGACCAATTCAAATTAAAAAAAAAAAACTTTTTTTAGGAATGAAGGTAAAAGGGTTCGGGGTTCAGGATTCGGGATTTTTTAGGGTTTAGGGTTCAGGGTTCAGGGTTTAAGGTTTTTTAGGGGTTTTAGGGTTTAGGGTTTGGGGTTCAAGGTTCGGGGTTCAAGGTTCAAGGTTCAAGGTTCGGGGTTTAGGGCTTGGGGCTTGGGCTTGGGGTTGGGTTCTGGGGTCTAGGGTCTTATTAATTTACTTTCTCTCTTGCAATTGTGCGTGTGAGTGCTTTTGCGATTCTCAACAATTTTAATCCTTGATATTTATAAATTTATAAGAGATATTATTTATCAATTTATTTATGTCATTTTATAACTTTTATATTGAAAAGTTTTTAAAGAGATAATAAACAATAAGTTATAATGTTTGAAAGGAAATTTTTAATTATAACATTTATTTTCAACCTGTTTATCAAATATTCTGATATGATAATAAAAAATTTAATATATAATATATTCAAGTGAATCAGAATATTTTAAAGATTTTTTTAAAAATAAATTATGAACATTAAAGTAAACAAACAAAGGATATCTTAATTATTATATTTATATAGATTACTAGAAGAAGAATAAAAAGATATCCGTACCATGTAGAGTTTATATATGATCTTTTAATTATTATATTTATAAATTACGAAAAAAATTATCTTTACCATGTAATTTTTATCTTTAATCTTTATAAAATTATAAGAGATATTATTTTGTAATTTTTAAAGAAATTAAAAGAGTAACTACAAGAAAAATTTCAATAATTGAAAGGATGTTTACAATTATATTATTTATTTTCAATCAGTTTATCAAATATTCTAATATGGTAATAAAAATATACTATATAGAAAATTTTGTTGTAATGAGCAATATCTTAATTACATATAATTTATTTTCAACCCGTTTACAACTCTATTTAAAAGTTTTTTTGAAATATATTCTGAACACTAAACTATGGTGAATGAAGAACATCTTAATTATTATATTTATAGATAACATAATCATTATAATTTATTACATATTTAAATAATTTATTTAATATTTATGCAATCATGAATATTTTTAAAATTTTCAAACATTAATGTAATTATTGGTCATATATTGCAGGCACCTATATACTAGCTACATATAATGCTATTTTAAAAAAAAATTGTTACTCATTAATTTTGAAAATAATAATATTTTAACTCATATTTGAAATTGTTCCATAAAATTGATATATTTGTTAAATCATAAATAACATACATAATATGTAGAATATAAGTTATAGAGTTAAATTTCGATAAAAAGTTTCATTCAATTAGTGATATTTTTTCTCTTAATGATATCTTGTACTCCCTCCATTTTTTTTTCAGTCGTTTTGTCAGAGTTTGTTATTTTTTTTTCATTGTCATATTACTAAAATTAATGAGTTATTAATTTTTTTCTTCCATTTTTACTCTTGATAATTAATACATCTTTCCTGCACAATGTGTGTATTTATTTTTAATGACTACCTAATTTTTCTCCAACTACTCATATAAAGTTAATATGCATTTATAAAAGCAATATGTTCCCAACAAAATACTATAAAAAAACAAAAAAAGGGACAACTATTTAATGGAGTAGTTCAACAGTCTAAAAAATGTAAAATAAAAATAAAAATAAAGGGTAAAATAGGAAAGTAAGTAATAAATATTTTTAAAAATTAAAATATCAATAATTTCCTTAAGTCCCGTGCAAAACCTTAAACGACTATAAAAAAAACGGGAGGAGTATTTTTGACTTAAATGTAGGCATGATAATCTAACTCGTCCTCGTGGGTACCCATCCCGATTTGGACATGGAAAATCGTGTTTATCGGATTCGGGTTCGGGTTTTTCCTGACCGATAAAAGCGGAAGCGGGGACAGGGATGTTAATACTCGTCTCGCCCCTGCCCCCACCTCCACCCCCACCCCCACCCCGCTTAATAATATAATTAATAAACCAAAATTAAAAATATTTATATGTAAAAATTTATATTATTTTATTTTTTTTTTATATTTTTAAAAACTTGTTCATATTTATTTAAAAGAAAAAAAAAAAGGTAGAAGCGGGGGCGGGGAAACCCAAACCCCACTGAGGGCAGGGATGGGTACCTAGATTTTATCCCGTCGGGACAGGGGCGGTTTAAATTTGCGGGGGTGGGAGCGGGGAACATAAAACCCACCCCCGCCCCGCCGCGCCCTGTTGCCATGCCTACTTAAATGTGTCATTTTAAAGTACATCAACGGAGGCGTCCGTAGTTTTCGCAATCTTTGATAATTAACTAATGAGTATCCATTTCATGTTTAGTAAATTAGTATAGGATTAAGCAAATTGTTATCTGCTTGTTGATGGTGGTATTAGTGTCGGTTGTAATTTTGTTTCCAAAATTTGAATTGTGTCTTAATTAGAAGAAATTTTTGATCACGAGTCTTAAAGTGATCCTTTGCCTTTAGTTTCTGAAAAGTTTATAGTCTTGAGTTTGTGGAAATCGATACCTAGACTTCCCGATTTGCTGCATTTTATATGTTTATTCACTAACTTCATCGAGCTTAACATCTAAGTATTATGAATTAATTTCTAGTAATCATGATATTATATGATTGTGTTTGCTCTTCCAGCCTATGGGGCATCTCTGATTACCAAGTTGACAATGGAGAACATTGTTTAGATAAAATAGTTCTTGCCTTTTGGTTTTACTTTTTGCTATCTTTAGCGGTAAAATTGATGTTCTTGTCATTTTTTTTTGTTGCTTCATAGAGACGGAGAAAGACAGAATTTCATTGATATGACAAAAAGATTTTCAAGTGACCTGGAGAAACAAAGCAGATTCCGGGCATCTACAATGGAAAAACAGAAATTTTTTTGTGGATTTATGAAAAAACAAAAGTTTTCGTATTGGTCCAAAGCAGGGTCACCTGTAAGATATAACATGGCATTATGTTTGGGCCTAAGGTCCATATAATTTCCTTTTCTTTTTCTTTTCTATGTTCCATTTTTTATGAACAAATTTACTATTTAATATGAATGGAGCTTAATTCCATAAAAAGATTGTGCGCGTGTGTGATATCTTATTTATTGCTTTTCAGTTAATTAAGTTGTTAGCCAAAACTCAAAATCCATACCGTTCTTTCAATCTTTTTCCATAAATTTGAGCGAGTAAGTTGCAATTTGGTTGTGTCAACTTTTGATTTGTTCAACAAAGTTGTTGGACATTTGTGTTTCTCATTGAAAAGAACAATGTATCCAAAAGTTTTAAATAAGATGATAATATTTATATACAAATTTATAATAACAAATATATAATTATACATTTTTTAGATTAAATATATATATTAATTATTTTTTTTTATGAGATTTCATATTCTAAAAATATTGAATGATTTTCTCATTTTTAACATCATCTAAATTATTTTTTCTTTATATAAGTAACAAAATAATCATTCACAATTTATTTCTCATATTAAAGCTCTATCTTTTTTAATAAAAGTATAATATGAAATTGAATAAATCATCATCTTTTTACTAAATTTAATAAACTATAATTAACATGACACACGTGCACACAAACACACACACATATATATGAGTTTGTTAATTTATAACTATTTATTTTAAAAAAAAGTAAGTTAGCAAGTTATATCTAGATGCATTTTAAAAATATTTCAATTATAACTTGCTAATATACTCTTTAAAAAATAAGAGAATGCATATACCAGCAAAAACTGGTACCAGTAAAATTATTATTAGAAAGAAGCCCAAAAAGAAGCCCAAGACATCCGCCACGGGGCAGTGACTTGGCCCACCTTGCCTCCGCCACGGGACAATTGATGCAACCCGCAACAGTTGTCCAAAACATCCACCGTCTTCATAGATTTCTTTGTGCCTTTTTTTCTCTTTGGAAAAATTGCACGAGTTTGTTGTTGTTTTCTGTTGGAAAGGGGATAAAGAACTTTCCATTTTCAGTTGGGAGAAACAACTTTGTGTTATGCGACTCTTTAATTAGGTTGAATTCTTCATTATCAGTAGTTAAGAAGAACCAATTATAACCCATTACTTGAGCCCTGTATAAGCAATACTGGTAGTGAGAACTGCCTTGAACATCCCATGATTCATACCCATCATGGTATAAAACTCCTAGATATTCTTTATGTCCTTCAGTAAGTAGCTTCATTACATGAGTTGGATACTGGTTTGTTGAAAAATTACTTGGACAAGTAACAATCTTCACGGTAAGGTGGCACATGAAAATTGCTTGTATTGAGTTGATGGCTTCACTGATTGAAGGGTCAAAACCATCAAATTTTTCAGTAGGATGAATAAGAACCGAGTCTAAACATCCATAGTCCAGTAATGTTTTGATATTGATAGGCAAGTCCTCGAAAATGACGGGCTTAAAATGTTCTAGATCAAGTTTTGCTTTTCTGAACAAGAACTTGATTTTACAGGGGCATCTCCCGTTTCTGATTTCTTTGCAAAGGGGAGATTCTTCTATACAGGCAAACCTTTGATTGAAATAGCTCTTAACTGCTACATATAAACCTGTAACTGAGTGAGGCTCCCTGTGTGCTTTTAAAAAAAAAATTTGCAAGATCAAAAAGTTCTTCAGGTTTAATTCCTGAGGAGAATTATGGTTTTGTCTCACAGCCTCCTTAAACGAATTTGGCTGAGGTTTTCGCAAATTTGTATGAATGACATTTGTTTCAGGTTCTGGATTTAAAGCCCTTTTTATTTTTGTCATATCAGTGATATCCAGTTCCAAAGCCTTTTCTGACTCTTCTCGAGAGTAAAAGTCTTTGTAACGGGGATTTTGTAAACCTTCCTTGGCAGTGCACAAGTCGGTGAAATTTGTATAAACACCCTTATAAGGGCCAGATAATAAGACAAAATATGTGTATCCTTTCTCAGAAGGAGAGGCTTTGTTTAGGAGTGGAACTCCTTGATTGTCTGTTATACAAAATTTATACAAGGCACATATAATGCCTCTTTATTGAACAAATTAATTGTTCGTTTGTTTCTGTACATCTGGGGATGTTCCAGATGTTGTCAACTATGCAATTGAACTTTTCATTTGTGCTTTCTCTACCAGGGTAAAGAAATTCATTTGTCAAGATGGGAAGCTCTTGGTTCCCAAACTTCATTTTTTGTCGAACACCAGGGTATGAAACCTTAGAGGGTTTCATGATTTGTTGTTCCTGCAAAACGAGATAAAATATCAGCAGCAACATTTTTATTTCCTCTAATGTGTTCAAAAATTATTTGTATCCCATTATGATAGACATGTTCTTGGAACAAAAGCCATCTTTTATGGGGTTTTTTGTCAGATTTTATTTCAGAATTACCATAGGCAACTATTGCTTCACAATCAGCTCTGATAGTAATCTCCTTTTTGTTAATTAAAAATAGTTCAAAAGTTTTTAAACTATTTATAACAGCATTTACCTCGTAATCTGTAGAAGTAGAATATATCTGAGGTTTTGTGTGATATTTTCCTGAAGCATATCTACAAATTTGTTCTTCAAAAATATTATCATATTTATTTTTATTTTTCTTTAGGATAGCTCCCCATCCTAGTTCGCATCCATCACATTCAATTACTAAGTAATCTGAATCTAATGGTAATGCTAGAGAAGGCAAATTTTTTACCATTTCTTTGATTTGTTTAACCAATTTTATATCTTCAGAATTAAACTTTCTTTGACCTGTCAAACTGGTTTTATTATACAAGGGTGCAGTAAATTTACCCAAGTCTTTTACAAAAGTTCTTGCATAATTTAGAAGACCTAAAAAGGCTCGAAGCGTTTTTACATCTTCCATTTTTTCAGGAAAAGCAAGAATTTTTTGTGAAACATGAGGTTGGAGTTTTATTTTTCCATTCCCAATTTCAGTTCCTAAAAAGGATATATGAGTTTTGCATATTTCCATTTTAGATTTTGAAACAATTAGACCATATTTTTCAAATAGGTGTAAAACTTGTTTCAAGTGAAGAAAGTGTTCTTCTTTTGTTTTTGAAAAAACCAGCACATCATCAATATATGTACAAGTGAATTCTTTATAATCTCCAAAAATGTTATCCATTTTTCTTTGGAATATTTGTGGGGCGTTTTTCAAACCAAAGGGCATTACTTTCCATTCGAAAAGTCCTTCAGAGCAGGAAAAAGCAGTCCATTTTATTGAATCAGGGTGCATCTTTACTTGATGAAATCCTGATTTTATATCGAATTTTGAAAACCATTTTGCTTTCTGGATTCTATTTATTAAAACATCTTTTGATGGTATAGTATAACCGTCTATATGAGTATTATCATTAAGATGTTTATAATTATAAACCATCCTTGTTTTACCCCTTTTTTGTTCGGAGTGTTTGTTCACAATAAAAGTTGGGCTTCTATGTGGGCTTGTACTTGGTTCAATAACCTTAAGATCAAGCAGTGCTTTTATATGAATTCTACATTCTTCTTGTTCGAAGTTCCCATAAGGAATATCTTTTGTTTTTATTATAAAATCATGATTTATAATATCTAATTTGCAAATGACAGGATCTTTTTCCCAATATCTAGTAGGATCTTCTCCTATTACACTGGATTTGTTTAATCTGTCAATAATTTGTTGGATATTGTCAAAAGTTATAACCTTATTAATCTTAATGCAGTTATAACAGTCAATATTGGTTTGTGTTAGAGCCAATTCGTAGAAATTCTCAACATCCTCAATAGTGTCGAATATTTATGAGTTTTTGTAATTTTCTACTCGAATTTCGGCTTCTTTTTATTTTACAACTACCAGTTATCTCGCACGGACACTCAGTAGTTTTTTCTTTTATTGAGGGGGTATCACCATGCTTAGCTCGTAACTCTGATGAGATTTTGTCTAAAATAGGTGACATTTGAGCTTGATTAGAAATAATCAAGTAATCTTTTGTTATGGTTGTAGACCTGTTTTCGGCAATAATAAAATCGAGGCCTAAAATCATTTTTTCACCAGCAGGTTTTAAGTTGATAACATCTGCTCGTGTCATAGAAATTTTTGTTCCAAAAATATCACAATTGGTAGAAAGTTGTATTGAAAAATTTTTGGTTTCTTTATTATTGATGATAACATCTCCAGACATTGTCCTTGTTTTAGTAGTTTTTTCGCTTAGGAAAATATTTTGTTTAGGAACAATGCTTTTCACATAGACATGTAAAGGAAGCTCCTGTATCAACAAGGGCTTGAATTACAAGTTCAATTTTATCATTTTTATCAATTTTTGGAAAATTGACTTTTATCAGAATATGAAGACTGGTATTGGGCTTTTTCATGTGCCACCTTACCGTGAAGATTGTTACTTGTCCAAGTAATTTTTCAACAAACCAATATCCAACTCATGTAATGAATCATGGGATGTTCAAGGCAATTCTCACTACCAGTATTGCTTATACAGGGCTCAAGTAATGGGTTATAATTGGTTCTTCTTAACTACTGATGAGGAAGAATTCAACCTAATTAAAGAGTCGCATAACACAAAGTTGTTTCTCCCAACTGAAAATGGAAAGTCCTTTATCCCCTTTCCAACAGAAAACAACAACAAACTCGTGCAATTTTTCCAAAGAGAAAAAAGGCACAAAGAAATCTATGAAGACGGTGGATGTTTTGGACAACAAACACCCACTGATACACAGTCCATGGCCGGATCATCAGAAATGCAAGACGCTGGAGAAGATGAAGAAATATTAGTCTCAAAATAGAAGACTAAGACCTCGACAAAAGGACAACATCAACAGTAAAGACAGCTGTCTCTACAAAACCCTTATCTAAAAAGAACCTACTTTAGTTCTCAAAAGATAAGGCGTGTTGAATTTCTTTTAATTTCTGTCAGAGTCTATCGCCCTGCGAAAGAGTAAATGTGTGGTAGCAATTACCTCATTTGACTGAAGGGGCATAAGTGTCTTTGTTTTTTGTTTTGTCTTTTAGTATCTAGGT